CATGTTTTATTCTCCAAATGCTGAACTCTGAGAATAAGCTCATATTTTGGGGTACCAGTGATATTATCTTATGGTAAATCAATCAAATTTACACATTCTTCCCCACCTAAGAGTAGTGTATCTCCTTAGAAGTAATTTCTCCCAAATTTAGTGGCTCCTTACAAGTCTGGGATTCAACCAATGTGAATCTATGATATAGAAAAGATTATTTTACTGAAAAGTGGACTGTGTTCTTCTCCTTATCAAGGAAGGGCTCTAAGTTAGAAGGTCTTTTGCTCTAATTTAGACTTTACCAAAGACTCTTCACTGTAAGCAGCAATGCTGAGAGCCCTGATGTTTGTGTCCCTGGCATATGTTTACGTAGTTTGGAAAGAAAAGCATCTGCCTAAGTGAAAGAGATGTTAGTCTTCAAATTCTCCCCCCGCCACACACACATACACACACATACACACACAGAGAATTGGTTGCTGCACAGTAATTGATATTTAAGTCAATTCTGTTGAAACAGCACAGAAACAAAGCATCAGTTAAACAGAATCACTTGTCATTTTAGCATTAAAATAACGTGTAACGATGCACTTTAATTTCTTAACGGACCATTTTATTTAGAAAGATTCAGTCTTTGAGGGGCATTCAGGAAATTTTAAGATGTAGTCCACTAGCTAAAATCCTGAACCTGTAAAAATAGTTTCTGTACCTTTCATATTCATTTAACGAGATGTGTAAATTAATGATTTTTTAAACCGTTTTATTTCGACCAGAACCCACATTTTCAATCAACATTAATTGAACGTATCTGAGACTAAACAAGGACTAACAGAGAAAAAAGATATTGTTGTTCACTTAAGTACTGGTCGCTTTGGACCAAAATCTTAAGTTTGATCGAGCTGTAAGGGGTCCCTCAACCCCTGAAACATAGCTCTTTTCCAAATACCCGAGGAAGTGGATTTACCATTGATGCCTCTGGAGAGTTTTCAGTCGCTACACTCGTTCAGGTCCCAACTGAGCCAGGTTCCCGCGTTTGGGCAAGTGCTTGGGAGAGCTAGTATCCCCGCAAGACAAGCTGGGGAGAGGGGCCGAAGCCCCCAAGCCCATTCTCAGTTCCTGGGGTGCGTTTGGGACCTTATCACTCGGGACTCGGGCGGGCGCCTCTGGCCTGCCTGAAGCGCAGGAAAATCCGAACGCGTGCGGGAGTTGTGCCCGGCGCGGTTGCCGCTTGGGGCCCGGCGATGCTCCCTAAGTAAAGGATTCAGGTACCCCCTACCCTGGCGCCAAACGAGTTGGTTGTCCTGATAATAGGTAACAAAGATGATTTAGGCTGCTCCTGTCTCTGGACTGGGCAGTGGAGGAAAGCCGGGTTGGCGCGCAGGTGGAGGGCAGCGACTCGGCTTCGGCGCTGTCCAGCGCCCTCGGACCAGACCGCTCTGCCTCCCTCGCAGGGTGCCAGGCCCGGGGCGGGATAGCTGGGCTGTGGGTGGCTCCCGAAGCCCGCACTCTCGTGGCTGCGGCTCCAGCCCCCTCTCCCGCCCCTCGCCACTTGGGGGCGGGAAGTGGCGGGTGGGAGTCACCGAGTGTGATTGCCCAAGGCCCCTCCTGCCTCAGCAAGAGAGCGCCATAAAAGCCCCGCTGCGACCCGCTCTCCACACCCCATCCACCAGCTCTCAACCCTCGGGGAGGCACGCGGGACAGCAGCTCCCT